TAAATGTACGTAAGTTGAACCAAGCGACCAGTGCTTGAATCCTGGCCACTCACGTCAGTGGCGAGTGATATCTGAACCGATTCCGGGCTCCCCCTGCGCTTCACCAACCCACACTGACCAGTTTGGTGAAGTATGGTCAACGAACCCCCAAGACCAATATTGTGTGGGGAGGCTTTCAGCCAGCAGTGGATTATATTGCGCCGGTGCCATCGCAGGACGCCCACGAAATAGAGCCTAACAGCTTATCGGGCCCTTGCTGCTGAAATAAATAAAAAATCTATCTCAATTTTAAACCCTTGCCCAACCTGTGCCAAGGAAGCGCTGTGGATAGCAGGTTTCCACTCATCTTCAATCATGAGACACGGTCAATCCACTGCTGGATGAAGGTCTCCCCAAGCCATCCAGCTTGTGCACACGATCTAACGCCATTGCTCCGTCTCCGCCGGCGGACGTCCTCTTGGGCGCATTGCCTCCTTTCAACTGCACCGCCACGTCCTGAATGTGGGAACAGAGGGACACCCGGGGGGGCGGTAAGGGTGGGGTGGAGGACGGCGGGGGGAGGGCAAGAGGGGTGGTTACCCGAAATGTTTGGATGGCCATTGTATGCCATGGACCATTTTTGAGATTTAAAAAAAAAATCTCTTTTTACGTCACGTTCTATGCTTTACAGTTACTCATACATAACACACACACACACACATATATGATAGACAACGTTACGTAGACGAAATAAATGTCGCTTCCTGAAATGGCTTGGGAACACATTCGACCGGGTTCCTCTCGGAAGAAAGACAAATCTTCCCACGAGGAAACGTCGTGGCTGGGCGAGCGCCGCCGCCGCCGCCGCCGCCGCCGCCACCGCCGCCGCCGCCGTGCACGCGACTCTTCTTCGCACACGGGATGAGCCCTCTGGCACGTCGCGCTCTGAGCGATCGCCCCCCCCCCCCCCCCTTTCCCCTGCGGTCTGTCCACATCGCGTTATTTTCACAAATATACATTCAGGCTCGTTCCGTCTTGCAGAGAATTCCGGTGGCCCTCCGTGGTGGGCACCGTTGGGGGTGATTTTGCTGCGCCCGTGCGTGCCTGCGTGCGCGCGCGTGCGCAGGTTATGCGGTGTATATATACACAACGGCGTGTATATATATACACAAACATGCAAGCCACACACGCACGCGCACACACACAAGCGTGCTGTACAGTGTATACCTAAAGACGAGCATTGTTACAAAGTACAACTCCACAGAGGCCAAGACGATAAATTCCAGACTCCACTCAAACGATTGTATATATTTGTGTGCGCGTGAGTGAGTGTATGTGTGTGTGTGGCAGCAGCGGTATAGTGTTTACCGCATTGCACCCTGAACCCAGTTAACCTGAGTTCGGTTCCCGGCCATGGCTAACGTCAGCGGCGAATGATTTCTGAACCGGTTTATGGGCTTTCTCTAGGTAAACTTAGCCTTAATTTAGTATAGCAGGTGCAGCGTGTACATTTCAGCACTGACGAGACAAAGGCAGTTTGTGTATGGCGCTGGCCATAACCCAACTGGTACTCCGTGCTGGCCAAAATAGGTGCTCGCATACAGCATCCATCCCAAGTCTGTTTGTAGCTATGAGGTGGTGGAGGAGGAGGAGGGGGGTGGGTATTTGTCTTTTGTGCGTGAGTGAGAGCTTCTCTGTTGCTCAAGATGTGTTTACTTTGTGGATAACGATACTCAACGATGCAATGAGGAATTGTAGAGTCGGACACAATGTTGACGGTGGGGCTCATTGAAACGCGTTATCTTTTAGGCTGCATAGCTCGAGCTTAATGGTGTAAGCAGGCAAGAGGAGCACCAACAGAGGGGTCATGGTGGGGGGCGGGGGGCAAAAGGGGACAGTCCCCTCCCACCCTCGGAAATGTTTTAAGAGGGCCATTGTATGTCATAACAAAAACCCCAACGCATTCGTAAATAGCCCGACCCTCGAGTGGAAAACGGTGATAAGAAGAAACGTTTCAGGCAATGGCTCTTCTCCACAGCATAGGCCATGTTTGAGATTTTTTTTGTCGTTCGTATGAAGTTGTAACATTCTCGACGTGCATGTCATTACGTACGTTCAGTGCGTCAATTCAGTCGTTCGTGTTTGTAGCAACCGATTGTAATAGGAAAAAACAGAGTTCGGGAATAACCCATGGCCAACTCTCACTCTCACTCTCTTGGTCAGAATAATAATTCGTCCCACCTTACCAAAAAGTTATCCGCCGGGCGCGTGCGACACTGGTTGTGTCCTTCGCGAAACGCGCGGGTGATCCGTAGGAGCACGGGGGGCTAATGGCGGCTGCGTTGTTGGCTTGCTGCGTGGCTGGAGAGGGTTGGACGTCGTAGGATGGGAGGCCCACGCACACATCTCCCCGCCTGTTAATCAAAACAGCTCGGGCCTGGCTCCAGTCATGCTTGGCTGAGGGAAATTAATGATGTCTGCCGTGCGAGAGCAGCCCGTGTAAATAATTTTAAGCAGTCTGAGCATTTGTCTCCACCAAAGACATTTCTGAGGAGCGGAGCGGGGTGCTTTAAAAAGAAGGGGATTCGGTGAGCGATAAACTAACCACATGACAAATGGGTGGCTTTCTTCCTGCACTCTGAACTTTGACCTTTGCATTCTGCTGTTTTCCCTTGGCCTTAGTAAATGAATTCTGTGGCGTAGCCCTGCTCAACTACATTTAATTTTGGCCGTAAACATGGCCGTTTGAATTGAGTAACATTAAACGGTTTATGTTCTTCCAGAAAATAAAAAATGTTCGCTTGTTATGTGCATGTGCATGGATTTCAGCAACGTTGTCCAAAATCTGAAAAGAATGGGACTTTACGGTAGTAACTGAAATTTATATTCTTTAAAAATGCAATTGCAAACATTAAAACACACATTCATATTTTTGTTGCAATGACCGATATCAGTTAAATATAAATGATAACAAATGGTCCAATTCTGTTCACATAATGGAAAATAAACATTTTTTGCAGCATTGAGGAATTTAAAATGCGTTGGAATTTCAGTTTTGTGGAGCAATTTTTTGGATCTGAAACAGTTTTCTATTCATAGCGCTCACAATATTTGAATGGATGCGTTTTTTTACGTCGTGGTACTAACATAAATTGCTGGGTTTCATTCTTTATTTTTTCTGATTTACACCTTCATTTTTCTTTGCCGTTTTTAATAAACTTAAGTAATGTGAGGCCTAGCGGAGGTCGTGCTCAATCAACCAACATGGCTGTCGAGGGAAGGCACTGACTGTGAGGTTGCCACACATCAGCTTCCATATTTATGAGGTAAACTTAATCCCAATTTAGGCCGCAGCCTCTGCAGGAAACAAAAAAAACCCCAATGTGCATTTCTTGCCGTTGTGTGTGTGTGGCACGTGCCTGCGAGGCCTAGTGTAGGATTTGCACTTTCTGTGTTCTTGAAAACGCACGAGGGGTTGCTGACTGATGGATTGTGGCTGCCCTTTCCGGGCCTGGTACTCCCTGTCTGGTGAAAATTCTGCCAGGGCTTCATATCGTGGCAGTTTTCCCCAAATGAAACCTAATTTAGGAGCGGTGCTGTTATCCCGAAGAAGTGGCGTTTAGTGTTGTGCGATTTGTTTTGCCCAAGTGGCTTCAGTCCGAGAATTAAATAGAGAATGATCGAATATTTGGGTTTGTATATAATTTTTGGTGGTCGTAATAACTGGTATGTACTATCCCAAAAAAAAAAACATTTAGGGATTAGTGTAGTATGTTAGACAGCTTTTTTATAGTATTGTTTGCATAACGCTGTGTATTATCAATCATGTTCGGAATTTACTGAAATATTTCATCCACTTCGGAGTAAATATCGATGATGTTACTCATATTTCAAGTGCTTGTGTAATTTTTGTATGTTGTGATAACAAGATACATTGTTTCATGTCATACTAGGGAATACAACACTTGTCAACAGCTACAAGAGTAATAATGAACACAAATTACATTCGAAGCAAATTGATTATTAATAAAAAACATTTTTTTTTTTAATAAAACATGAATTAGAAAATTACCCAGAATGTTAACACTTTTAACTGAATGAACAATGCAGTGAGTAGGTATAATTGAGCATGAAGTCATAATCTTCTTCTCAAGATGAAGGACGTGAGATATGCTCACATTTACATCGTACCAATTTCCAGTTTCCAATCGGGCTTTAAATAACCAGACAAAAAGGCCACGTGGTACAGATGTGTAATAAGATTAGCAACCCTGTGGTGATCCTTGATGCTATACAAGCGAATGGATGGGAGAGGCTACAGAAGGAAACTGGATCGTGGTTTGATGTTCGGGAGGGCAAAAAAAAAACCCCATGTTGGGTCGTGCTGTGTGGCAGAACATTTGGGTTAATATTCCTTTTCATTTCTCATGCCCCCTCCGGGCTTCCGACTCCCAAGACCGTTCTTTGTGACATTAACTACGCATATTTTTTTTTTACCACGAAAAAAACAAGCCCCCGATCCCAGTGTCTCCACGTATCTGCTGTTGTGACATCAAATTAACACCAAGCAGCTGGAACACTTGCCTGGTGACTTAACCAACAGTGATGGGATGTAAATATCGGCAGACCCAAGAGTCTCTGGGCCTGCACCGCCGTGCATACAGACGTCGCGCGCGCACGTTACCCCGCGCGTACGTTACCCCGTGTGCGCTTCGCAGACAAAAACAATAAGAATGCATCTCCTTCGATTCCGTGATAAACGTCTCAAATTTTAAATCCCGAAAAAGCTATAAAAAAGAGAAAGCAAACCACAATGAAGCCGATTTGTTTTTTTTATTTATAAGGGACACCGCTGAACCGGGAGCGTGTTTTAGCATTCAAATGCCGCTAATTGGTATAATCTCATGTGTAAGCATCGATAGGCGTTTATGCTAAATGGCTGAAATTAAAAATTTGGAGCACGCCCGATGCCGTGCCCGTTGCCTGCGCTGCGCTGACGTATTGTTGCCCGTCTGTTCCAGCACCCGTACCCGTCGGAAGAACAGAAAAAGCAGCTGGCGCAAGACACTGGATTGTCCATCCTTCAAGTCAACAACTGGTGAGGGGACCTCTTTTTTTGTCCCGTGCCCGCTCGCCAAACCTTTCATTAAAAGGAGCGATTCGCTCTCCGGCTCTTAATGGTTGTCAAAATATGGCACGGGACAGCTTTGTTTGTTGATCTGTTGAATTCCACCAAGGAGGGGGGAGGGGGGGGGGGGTGGGAGCTGGACGGTGTGAGAGTCGAATCGAAAAAGGGGGCGAATACCCCCCGTGATGTATTCGTTAAACACTCCCAGGAGTTTCCAGGCTGCGAGGTATCAACTGAAGACTTCCGGGGTTTTGTCCGGATTGAGGTTTCCACTAAAATGTAATTACAGCAATCTGCGATAATTCCATCCAAGGCTTCGCCTCACAGAAATGACACGGTGGCCCTTTCATTTACAGTTAACCCCCCGCCGTATTTATCTGAGATGTTTCATTTACAGAGCCCTTTATCTGCAGGCCACAGATAGACAAACATTCCCGAGCCCCACAACTTTATCAGCCTTCTGGCCCCCATCCACAGCCTGGGGTCAATTGATTTCTCTTCTGCTCTCATTCATTTTTTATCCCGTTTTATTTGCTGTATCACAGCGTGAGGAGACGCATCTGGAGAATTATGGAGTTTTTCAGCCTTATCTTGCCATGCTTTTCGCCACACTGACTTTAGGGGAAATCATAGGAAATGGGGAGGAAATCCAAAAAGACATTCCCCCCCTTATCTTCCCCAGTTCACATGTCATGCACTGCACCTTCGGCAGTGTATGAATTTACTGCCTCGGAACAGCGTGTTATTATTAGCCTATAAAGATGACCAGTTTTGCCATTAACCATGGAAAAGAGCACATTTCCCTATAAATTGGTAATGAAAGGTCAGGGAAAAATTCTTACACATAAAAGGGCTTAACAGTGGTCAGATATACAATAAATTAGAGCGGGGAAAGCTCAACGCGAAGCCTCGATTGGTCGCCAGATTTACGGAACGATCTTAATTTTCATGAATTTCAATGTGGGTTTTTATGACGGGAACTTTCTTTTATTAACAAATAAAACGTTAACCCCCTTTTTGCGTTCCAGCGTACGCCGCGTTTAAAGGGGATGCCTCTCCGTCTACAATAAAACCTTACAGCTTTTTTCGTCTTATTCATAGTGAAGATGTTCCCCTTTGTTTTAGGTTAATTTATTATCATTGTAATTTTTTTATTGGAATTTGTTTTATGGGTAAAAAAAAAATCTAAAGATACCGCGAAGACTCCTTCGTCCCAATAAACCGCTTGTGGCGCTTAATTTTTGCAGATGTAGTTTTTAAAAGTTACGTTCTACGAATCCTTTGTCGGATACACAAGGAGCGGGTCGAAATGTTTCGAGAATAAGCCATTAAACATCCACACGGAATCCAATTATTACCGTATTCTTCGATGTGATCGTCCCTTAAATCAATTCACCGTCATATTTTACGATTAGCGCATACTCTTAAATATGGGGCTTGACTTTTCGTTTCAATCCAGCTCTTAGAGCCGCATTGGCTTGCCCATAGTATGGTGTATGTGTGTGTTTGTGTCTCTACATGGTTAATTCAGCCTTAAATGAGAACCTGGTGCGGTGTTTACACATCAGCACACAGGCGGCTGGCCACCTCACCCACACCATACCCACCACCCACACCACCCACAACATCCACACCACCCACAGCACCCACAATAAAGACAACACTTACCACACCGCCTGGTGTGCAACGTGCCGGCCTTCATAGGTGCTCACTAACAGCACTTGCCCTGACAGCTTGCGTAGGCTAAACAGAGGTTTTTGTCTCTTTGCATGTGCAAACTATCTGTCAAGGCTATACGGGGGATCTTTGTCTTTGCGTATGTGCAGACCAAAATCTTCACATGAAATGAACGAGAGAGGCTTAGAATGCAATGGTGGTGGTGGGGAGGGGGCGGACAGGAGGGAAGGTGCCATATGGATTGTCTTCTTGACACCAATAGGCATGTGCGCCCAAGCAGTGTGCAGGAGTCAAGGTTGGGTCAGAGATGTTCTGACTGAAGAGGAAAATAATGTGTCTGCAGCTGCCGCCATCAGGATAGCGCAGCGCCGGCTTGTTAGGCGCTAGCTGCACGTTGGGGGGGGGGGGGGGGCACGCCGGAGGTGCTGGGTGGGCCGTGGAAGCGCCTTCTCCCCCGGGGGTCGGCTCGCCCGTTAGCGCCAGATAAAAATAAAAAACAAGAAGAAGAGTAGCAATCAGGGTGGTCGCGACTGTTGCGACTGTTGTGGTCTGCGGATATTTATATTGCCGTTTGTTTTGTTAAATCGTGGGGGTGAAATCACCTGGCGGAGAATGACGAAACGGGGACTGCGATTTTTTTGGGGTCGGGTGTGCTGGGGAGGGTGGGTGGTGGGGGGGTTAAAGGCGCAGCCCTGCAATTGCTGGCTTACGGCACTGCTAGCGGAAGGGGGGGGGGGGTCTCCACTTGAGCGAGCTCTAGAGAGCGCCCTCTCAGAGAGGTGAGGCTACGCGGGACTCTACTGCCGCCACCACTCGAGGCGACCGGCCGGCCGATCGGCCAATTGACTTGAGATGCGTTGAACCCATTTATACCGCTGTCGGCGACGGGCGTGTAATGTTGGAGCGCTCAGAACGTAGGGGGGGGGGGGAGGGTCGGGGTGGTTCGGGCGCGGGGACGGCTCTGGCTCTACCAGCATCTCGCTCCTGCTCTTCTTGGCCAGTGCCACGTCCGTGGCGGAGGGAGTGCTCTCCCCGTGTTTACGTGCGGCCCGATGGTTGGCGGCGACACAGTTGCAGGCGGTCGTGTTGCTGGTCTTGTTAATTTGTTCGTGCCGCAATGGGGGCCCAGCAGCACACGGCACTGTTGAGGGTGTCGTGGACAAGAGTCCGCGCGTTTCTCGAATTGCACAATCGCCCGACCGAGCGCCGACGGGAGGGTATGCCGATAGTGGCTCGGTGTGAGGAGAGAAGAAGTGGAGAGTGAGAGAGTGAGTGATGTGGAGCCGCTGTGTTTGGCTGGGTCGAGCACGGTGTGGTGCAATAAAACCCCCCCAAAGAAAGAGATACAAAGTTAGAAATAAATCTGACAACAAAACCCCATCTCGGTGGTTTTACCTTCACACGTGACTGTGAGTGCCATGTTTAGGGTGTAAGTAGTTAAATGTTTTCTTTGACAAGATCGCCGCCGGCTTCGTAAAAAATAAAAAGAATTGCATTTCTGGAAGTTCCCGCTTTACATAATCAAGGTGTATCTGTTGAGGGGCTCCCGTTTCAGACAGGATACCGGGTAGATTTGTTCGTAATTTGGCAGCTTCAGCCGCGGACACCGAGCCTGCCGGTCCGAATGAAGGGGAGCAGTGTTGGTGGGGGGTGGGCGAACGTTGGTTGAGGCCTGGGGAAATGACGCAGCCGTGGCAAGAGACAAAACATCGGGAGGGACATAGGGATGGTGGTGGGTGGGGATGGGGGGCGGATGGGGCGCTAGCAGTGGCACGATTTCACCCACCTCTGAGGCCCCTGTTAGGTGGTGGGGAGGCGAGGGGATGGAAAAACAGAAGAAGTGTTAGGTCCTGTCCGTACAAAGTGCCGTTGGGGCCTTGAGGTTGATGGGGGGGGGGGGGGGGGTGAAGGGATGGGGGGGACCTCTGCGGGAGCTGAAAGGGCCTTATTTGTAGCACCGCTGCCGCTCTGCTCGTCTGATCCGATGCGGAGTGAGTCCGGTGTGGATGCATCTGTGGGACTCGCTGTGGGTCCCTGTCACCTCTGCCCATCGCTTAGCAGGCAACCGGTGGGGGGGAGGTTCCCTGCCGCCGTGCCGCTCAGGAAATGTCACAGAGCGGTGCGACAGCCCTCGGTGCTGGAGAGCAGCCTGCGGAAGCGGACATCGCAGAGCTACCTCTGAAATGTTTTGCCGGTCGTCTAAGTGACCTTTGCCATATTCTTGGTTATTCTTAGCTCTTTCGGTGAAGTCACGTTGAAGGGAAACAATAAAATAATAAAAAATATATATAAAACAATAAAAAATTCGAACGACGTTTCGACCATAACACAAATGGTCGAAACGTCGTGAGAATTTTTTTTATTGTTTTATATATATTTTATTATTTTATTGTTTCCCTTCAACGTGACTTCACCGAAAGAGCTAAGAATATGAATTACTGCAGTCACGAAAGCTTTAAATCAAAATCTTCTTGGCGCTTTCGGTAAAGTCATGTAGAATGGAAATAAAAGAATAAAAATAAAACATAACAAAAAAATCATCATCAGCCATGACCAATCTACTGCTGGATAAAGCCCCCCCCCCCTCAGATGTCACCACCTTTCTGTGTTCTGCGATGTAACAATGTAACAATCCATCAAGCATGAGCTGCTTTCAGTGTTCCATCTCACCGATAGATGTCACTTGGATGTGTTCCACGCTATTTTCGGTGGCCATTCATTCTACGGACTTGTCCTGCCCAATCCGGGTGGTCCTACTAGAGCAGTGGTTCTTCAAAACCTGGGGTGCACGCACCCACTGGGGGTGCGTGATGCCCTTTCTGGGGGTGCGAGACATGGCCAGATATTTTTAGAAGCTAAATAATCGAAACACAAATTAAGCAAGGGCACATTAGTATACAAGTACTTTGTTTCAGCAAACCGTATGTATGTATTAACATAATCTTTTTTTTACGATTGAGAACCATAGGGGTAGAAGGCTGCAGTGAAGGTTGAGAATCAGTGTACGAGAGGATATAAAAAAATGTTTACTTTACTTAATATATTTTTTATACTCGCTTAATGTTCCATCATTGTGGATTGAGGGCTGGGGACAGCTTGGAGAGGGAGGCCTTTCACCAGCAGTGGATTGATCCTGGAAGTGATGGCTTGGGTAAGGGAGGCCTTCATCCAGCAGTGGATCGATCACAAATGATGGTGGCTTAGGAAGGAGGCCTTCATCTGGCAGTATTTTTATTTTCCAGATTTGTTCATTTCATGCCGCCGTGTTTGTTCATTTGTGGGTGCAAATTGTG